TTGGAAATGTGCTTCGCGCCACAACGGCGTGCACTTTTTCGACATCTCAACTTCCAACACTTGGGAATCGCAACTGTTCAAAACAATTTGTATTTGGCCAAAACTATTTCTATAACAAACATTTTTTGGTTTCTGATGTCGGGTTAGTGAACACATGTCATATGTTTTTTGAAGCGCATTTTTTTTAAATATATCATATCTTATTATACGTGATTTGCCAATATGTTTGATTGGTTTAATCACGCGCCTTCTTTTTGCGGCCGGTCACTCTTGGCATGTCTATTGCGAACGCATCGATGGTACCGGACCAATAAGCAAAACACAGCGTTTTTTTATCGAACATGTTTTTCGTGTCGGTCCGATATGCATGTTTCCACAAGTGCCTCAATTGATATTGGCCCATTAAACAAAACAAAGACCAACGTTTTCCACACAGCATCTTTTACATGTGCATTCGTGAAAAAATACATGTATAAACACCACGCAGCATCTTTTTACATGTGCGTTCAATCAAAATCAAAATACATGTATAAACAGCACGAAGTATCTTGTACATGTGCATTCAATCAAAATCAAAATACATGTATAAATAAACATCTTTTTGGCGGTCCATCAAGCAAAGCAACAAAGGCTTATTGCAAAAGTTTATGTTCAATCGGATGCCAAGGTTACAACCTCTTGAACCGCAGTTCTTGGAAATGAAACTCGTGTCAAAACTCGGAAACATAGCTTCCAACCCTTGGGAATTCATCATTCTTGCAAAAAGGACCACGAAGTTTTGATGTTTCAAGTTACAAGACACAATTTCAACCTTTGGGAACCGGAATTCGGTGGAACTTGGAATGCATGGTTCCAACCGGGGAAAATTGGTTTCATTCTTTGGAGACCGACGGACCGACGTTTCCCCGAATTGGCAATCCGCGGGCGCAAGATTTCAAAGTTTTGGGGCCAACGTTTTGGACCTGGTAACTCCCAAAACTGGAACCCTATAGTTCCAAGCTTGGGAAGAATTGATTCCAATCTTTGGGAACCGGCAGTTTTTTGAATCGGAAACGCACGGTTCCAAGATTGGGAAGCATGGGTTCCAACGTTTGAAAAACGGTAGTTCCTAGAACTGGGAACAAATGGTTCCAAGATTGAGAAGCATGGGTTCCAATCTTTGGAATCCAGCAGTCTTCGAACTGGGAACCCGTGGTTCCAAGATTGGGAAGCATCGGTGCCAATGTTTGGGAACCGCTAGTTCCTAGAACTTGGAACATGTAAGATTGGGGCTTGGGAACCAGCAGTTCCTGAAACTGGGAAGCCGTGCGCGAATGTTTTTAACTCTTGGGAATCGCAGCTTTTCAAAACCTTTTTCCCCAACAGCGTAAGCTTGGGGTCTTCAGCCATAGTAAAGGTTCCGGAGCAGGTCGGGGCAGCCAAATCCGCACGGCGCGCAAGGTTGGGAACCGGGTTCCCAGGAAGGGTTTCCTTTTCCAAGAGAATCCCTCGGAGCAGCCAAATCCGCACGGCGCAAGGTTGGGAATTGGGTTCCCAGGAAGAGGTTCCCAAGCAAGGTTGGTTTCCAAGCAAGGTTCCCAGGAACAGGTTCCCAAGAGGTTCCCAGGAACAGGTTCCCAAGCAAGGGTTCCCAGCAAGAGGTTCCCAAGCAGGCCCAGGAACTGGGAACCCGCAGTTCCAAGATTGGGACGCATTGGTAACCGCCTCGTGTGTGCACGGGATTTTGGCTCGCTGGTGCACGGGATGACCCGACTCGCCTGTGCACGGGATGCCCTTCCTTCATTAATCAAGATCATCATCATCATCATCATCATCATGATCAATGATCACCATCATCGCCATCATCTTCATGATGATGATCATCATCATCATCACCATCATCAACATCATCATCATCATCATCACCATCATCATCATCATCATCGCGATGAGCATCATCACCATCATCTTCACGATCATCATCACCATCATGATCGACATGGTCATCAACATCATTGTCATCGTTAAAATTATCATCATCACCATCATCAGCAGAATCATCAGCATTATCATCACCGACATAATCTTGTGATCAACGTGGTCATCGACATCAACATGGTCATCGACACCAGCATGATCATCCACATGGTCATGATCATCATGATCATGGCCATTAGCATCATCAGAATCAGCAGAATCATCAGGATGATCGTGATGATCATAACATGCATCAACATCATCACCCGCACCAAGATCATCGCGACCATCAACAGCATCATGTTCATGATCACCACCTCGAACATTATCAAGATTGTTGCCAAAATGAACGCCCCCCTTTGGTTTCAGATTTGTGGTACCTTCAGGGTCTAATGTGTTCTCTTGTTTCATGTGTGTAGTGTGCAATCACTTCGGCCTGGTGATTTGCGGAATGCAATTGCCTTTCTTCTTTCAGGTTCGAAGCGGCTGAGACATGAAAACGTTCTGTGGAACATCTATGTAAAAATATTTGTTCCATCACTGCTACCTTAGCTATATTATTTCAGGGGGGGTGACGTACCAAAATAATTTTCCAGAAATAATTATCAATTTCATGCGAGAACCATATACTTCTGGCATAGGTCAAACCATGCAAAAATAATTTCCGGGCTAGAAATTATTTTAACGGGGTCCGACCCCATCAAAATAATTTTCCAACGAGGGGTCAGGTGCCAAAAAATTATTTCGAAATAATTTTGGTTGAACCTATCGTAGTACTGCCGTTTTGTGGTGTCAAGAATGTTTGTTCATTGTCCAATGAAACTGCCGAAGCTTCAGTAGCCATTTGGTTCACAATCACCCCTACTTTAGTTACCCCCCCTCACCCCCCTTAATAATAATAATACATAACTAACTATTTCAATGGGGCTTGACATACATTCGATTCATCGACTTGACCTAGGAACACCTGGAAATAATTTCCATTAACCCCCCCTCAAAATGTCTTTCCCCAGGGGTTCCCTAGAATGATATTATTTCAAAAATATTCTGACCTCCTTTCACAAAGTTATTTTGCAGGGAGTGCCACATGTCAAGCTTCAACGACAAGTGTTCTCCACCCCCCTTCCCCTCCAACTCAATGTTTAAAGTTTAAAGCATGTTTTGAAATATGAGGGACGCCTTCAGAGAATGCCCCGTCAATATGCATCAGAAATCTCAGAATAACAGAAGGATACCCCTATCAAAAAATCTAGCGACAAAAGGGAATGCGTAGCATTGCGTAGCCTATGGAAACAGAATTGAAGAAGATCACAAAGTACATTATATCAGGAAATCCTGCACAATGTTGGCTTTGCAAAGGTGTTTTACTATTATTTTTTTGTATGTCTTGTTGTTTTTTGGATCGACGCGTTGCAAATCAGGAAGCGCAAATAAATTCAATCATCATGCTTCATGTGTGCTCCCTCCTAGTCAGCTCAGAATCTCCCTCCAATTCAAATTGCACCAAGAACGCATCAAAATTTGCAACCCGCAACCAAAAAACGTTCTTTGGGAAATTATTTTAGGGGTATTGGAGATGCCCTGCGCTCCTCAAAAATCAAAGTGGGCAGCTGCCAGGACCATCCATCCAACTTGCCCAGAAGCTGGAAACGAACTCAAAAACATATAAAGACCGAATGCTTACCATCGTTCTTTGGAGGCAAATGAAAGGAATATGGGAGAAATATTGCGAAATAAGGGAAAATATGAAAGGTTAGGAAAACCACTACAGGAAACGGCCAGGTTGAATACTATTTCGTGGGATTTCTCAAGGGGAGAAATTATTTGAGGGGTATTGGAGATGCCCTGCACTTCTCAAAAAACAGCTGCCAGAACGACCCAACTCGCCCAGAGGCTGGAAAAAACTCAAAAACTCAACAATCTATAAAAACCAATTGCTTACCATCGAGAATTCTTTGGAGGCACATGAAAGGAACATGGGAGAAATATTGCGAAATAAGGGAAAATATGAAAGGTTAGAAAAACCATTACAGGAAAGAGCCAGGTTGAATACTATTTCGTGGGATTTCCCAAGGGGAGAAATTATTTTTGGGGTACTCGAGATGCCTTGCACTTCTCAAAAAACAGCTGCCAGAGCGACCCAACTCGCCCAGAGGCTTGGAAAAAAATTGAAAAACAAATGCTTGCCCTTTCCCACTCATTCCCACCGTCTTTTTTGACAGGACATGAAGGGAATATGGGAGAAATAGGGAATTAGGGAGAAGTATGAAAACATTGGAACTATGTAGGAAAAATTCAATGATGAAGATAATTATTGAACACCACTTTGCGGGAATTCCCAAGGGGAGAAGGTCTGATAGGTTTTTTTTTCTTCCGACCACTTGAAGTTTATATATATACGAAATGATTTTAAAACTATATTGACGGGTTAGACTATACTAGGACACAACAAACCATGGCGTGAGGAGTCTTGAAAATGGAAGCAGCCAATGAAACAACAGGGGGTGGCTTGCTTGTGAGATGGCCCGTGGAACCCCCCTCAAAATAATTATATAGGTGGAAGGACCTTGAAATAATTTTATGGATTTTTGATGATATTTAGGGGGGCTTGTTTCTGGAAATTATTTCCGGGTATCTGCACTTAAGGATGTAAAATATAGCAGAGGTGAACCCCCCCTGGAAATAATTTTGGAAATTATTTTTAGGGGGGACGGGGGCCCCTAGCTTAGGTAGGGGTGATTTTGTTCCTCCCTGTTCCCCTGTTACCCCCCTGTTCCCCAAATTGATATTCGAATTGGGAATTCGCGGGTCCAAGATTGGGAAGCATTGGTTCCAACGTTTGGGAACCAGCAGTTCCGGTTTTGCCGCAGCCAATTCGCACGGCATATGCATGGCAAATAAAAAAGCGTTTCTGAAACCTTTTCTATCTGGGGTCTCTGCCGGTGTAATTTTTAGCAGCTTTTGTTGTAATTGATGCTTGTGGCACTGCATCTTGCACATGGTGTTGTTGTCCTTGCGGCATGTTTTCCACATGTTCTGCTCAGGACAGCTGTTAAGTACCTACAATGGAAACTGCGAGCTGGTGCCATGTTGGAACCAGCCGAGCGGTTGGCCAGGTGGGTCGATAACAATTTCGAAGCAAAAGGCCATGAGTCCCTGGACGGTGTGCAGGATCAAACTTTCCACATGACCTTGTACAATGGCTACACAGCTGCTCTAAGCGGATGGACACACACGAGAGACTATGCGTATGGATTCCTCAGAAACATTAATGGCAAGGCCACTGCAGTTGTAAGTGGATTGGTGCCAGCAGCCCAGTACTTGTACACGATCTACTCCTCGGATCGCATTGGGTCGCACTACCATCAGGATAACTTGGTGTCGGTGAATCACGGGGTAGAGGCTACCGTCACGCAAGATGGCTATTTTATGGCCCAGATGAACGGCGTCGCCACGGCAAACCCCCGTGGCGAAATCACTTTCGAGTTTGACCGCGTGGGCCGCGGACACGTCCAGCTAACGGGCATTGCCATTGCAGCTGTGGCCGGGCCATTTTCACTTCTCCAAGCTTCCACGTCCAATGAAGGAACTCATGTCTCGGCACAAAGTGCATTCGAGGTGGGTTTTGCTTTCTTACACCTCTACCAGCAATGTGATGCAGTGCTTTTGCTGGGAGGTATGGGAGTTCAGAGCTGTGGTCGCCCAACACATCGAAGTATAGATTCGCACACCTGGAAGCACAAGAAAAACCTCCCGAGCTCTTTCAAGCATGGCTCCGTTTTGTTGGCCTCATGCTGGGCAGAGCGATATCGTTTAGTCCGTGGAAGCAGCGTTGTACACGAAGAAAAATTGCAATGTGTCAGTGGCCAATGGTACAACAGTTTGGAGAAACCAAGTCTGCAAGGTTTGTTCTGTGAGCCTTGCGTGCACGTGGGTGCTCGAGGCTATGCGGCTTACCATACCCGCAATGAGCAGGAGACTAGCCTTGCATGTTGCTTGCAATTGCCGTACTTGACTTTATAACATTTCATAATGTACTTACTGTCTTGAGTCTCAACATGCCCACATGCACGCATCTAGAATATATATTCATACTTATATTTGTATATTTTTTCGGAAGCGCTATGCAGCTCCGATTGAGCCACGCGTCCACAGCAGCGCACCCAAAAAGGGTTGACTACTTCAATTGTGGGGCGAGATGAAGTGCGTAAGAAAAAGTAGAGGATAATGGCTCTTTTGGGAAACGCTGCTAACTTGCACCTTCTACGCGGAACCGGATGGAATGGGCAAGGTGGGGCCCATCCATCGAGAGCGTTGAGAAAACAATTCGCGATAACCACGACGATTTTGTCGGTGGAGTAAAACAGTTTGAAGTCTATGATTGCGGGCTGTTTCGGATCTAAGATTCTGATGTGGTAAAGGAGTGGTACTGCCTTTGGCCCTTATTGGGGAACTGACGCTGTGATTTATCCCTAGGCCTATGCTGAAAAACATGAGCAAATTTCCAGTAGGCTACATCGGAGAAGCAGGTGCAAACTGAACTCACATGCGTCAGCTCATTGTTGACGTAGGGGTCCGGGCCAAGAAAGATGTCCTGGGAGAGATATGAGTTGTTGATGAAGTTGGTAAGCTCATCGAATTGGTCAACTCAAATGAAGAACCTAGGATCTGCTGGTAAGAGTTCCTCTCGTTCTTGGTGAAGTGGAGGTGGTAGTCACAAAGGGGGCATGGTCTTTGTACAATGAGATTGTTGCATCGATGTACATCTGTGGTGAGACCTGTGTCGATCTGGTAGTGATGGAAGAGCTGCTGAACAGTTATGGAAAGTCCACGTGCTACTCTGGGTCCTTGTCTTCATGTAGAAGGATATTCCAGGTTGTTCATTGTAAATCTTGTATATATCTGTAGCTGGTAGTCCACGAAGTAGGAGTGCCTTGTTGTCAGCCGTGGATTCCAATGTCTTCAATGTGAGTATTGTACTGCTCGAGGATGCTCAAGTGTTGGAGTTTCGACCTCTTGAAGGTCAGTGAAAGGTCGCTTCTTGGTGAGGTCAATCTTCTGGAGCTTGCCTTTTCGGGGTCGAAGTGAAGTGCTTCTGGAGAGGTGAGGTTGAGGGCAAGGGAAGCCTGCTCTAGTTTGAGGTGACGACCAAAGTTCCTGCTGGAGTCCAAAGTCCAACTCTGAGAGCTCTACATCCTTAGCTGATAGTGGAGTGACAAACTCTTCCCATCCTTGGTCTGTTCTGGGTTTCTTTGCAGGAGAAAACTCTTTGGTAGTAGCTCGATGTTGCTTGATAAGTTCAAATTCTTCTGGAGTGAGGGTCTCAGAGGTAGTAGGTGATGTAGTCGATGTGGCTTGAGGAGGGCGAGGTGGAGAAGCTTCAGGTAGTTCTTGAGATTCTTGAGATTCTGGCTGCTTAATATCCCTGGCTTCAACTAGGAATTGCTTCAATATATGTGTTATGTAAATGATACATAGCAACAAGTGAGGGCACAGCCCAAGCAACATGTGGTCCATGAAAGTAAGCAATGAGGGGGAGGGAAACAGAAAAGGCATGAAACTCGCAGTACCAATTGGCATGACCGCATTGCTGACTGTGTGGCAAAAGCTGAAGCTCGTGCCAAGTGCATACTTATATTGATATACATATATACATATACATGTATACTTATCAAAGGAAGTTGGGAAGCAATACTTCCGAGTTACGAATGACTTTTACTTGATGAAATTGACTATGATGAAGGGTGGTACGTGATCTAACAATACATAATCTAACAATACATAACAAAAGAATAAGAAGCTATGAAATTGACTATGATGAAGGGTGGTAGATCATGTGACAATACATAATCCAACAATACATAACAAAAGAATAAGAAGCTATGAAATTGACTCTGATGAAGGGTGGTACATCATGTAACAATACATAATCTAACAATACATAGCAAAAGAATAAGAAGCGATGAAATTGACTATGATGAAGGGTGGTAGATCACATAACAAAACATAATCAACAATACATAACAAAAGAATAAGAAGCTATGAAATTGACTATGATGAAGGGTGGTAGATCACATAACAAAACATAATCTAACAATACATAACAAAAGAATAAGAAGCGATGAAATTGACTATGATGAAGGGTGGTAGATCACATGACAATACATAACAAAAGAATAAGAAGCTATGACACAGGGTGGTGACGAAGGGATGTGGTTACGATGGGAAGTGGTGAGGAAGGGAAGTGGTGAGGAAGGGAAGTGGTGACGAAGGGAAGTGGTGAAGAAGGGAAGTGATGATGAAGGGGAGTGGTGACGAAGGGAAGTGGCGAGGAAGGGAAGTGGTGGAGAAGGAAAGTGGTGACGAAGGGAAGTGGTGAAGAAGGGAAGTGATGATGAAGGGGAGTGGTGACGAAGGGAAGTGGTGAGGAAGGGAAGTGGTGAAGAAGGGAAGTCGTGACGAAGGGAAGTGGTGAAGAAGGGAAGTGGTGACGAAGGGAAGTGGTGAGAAGGGAAGTGGTGACGAAGGGAAGTGGTGACGAAGGGAAGTGGTGGAGAAGGGAAGTGGTGACGAAGGGAAGCGGTGACGAAGGGAAGTGGTGACGAAGGGAAGTGGTGACGAAGGGAAGTGATGATGAAGGGGAATGGTGAGGAAGGGAGGTGGGGACGATGGGAAGTGGTGAGGAAGGGAAGTAGTGAGGAAGGGAAGTGGTGACGAAGGGAGGTGGTGACGATGGGAAGTGGTGACGATGGGAAGTGGTGAGGAAGGGAAGGGGTGAGTTGGGGAGGAAGCCGGAGCACGAAACCTTGCGTTTTTCCGTGTAAAGTGGCTGCAGCCGGCGATGAAAGGTACCTCGTCTGTGCGGCGGTTGCGGCTGGGGTCGTTTCTGTCGCGAATTGTTCCTCCTATGTGTTTTGCAACGAGTGGTTGTTCCTGTGTGCGTAGTTCTATGCGTTTCTTGAAGCTGTGGTGGCAGATCGCATTGGAATGGCTGCATGATTGTTGTCATTTGGTGTTGCCACGTCCGTAGATAGGTGCAGGTATGCTACGGGATGCTGCGAAACGCAGTGTAGTGGCTGCATGAATGTTGCATGGGCTATGTTTTGGGGAGGAAGCCGGACCACGAAACCTTTGTGTTTTTCCGTGTAAAGTGGGTGCAGCCGGCGATGAAAGGTACCTCGTCTGTGCGGCGGTTGCGGCTGGGGTCGTTTCTGTCGCGAATTGTTCCTCCTATGTGTTTTGCAACGAGTGGTTGTTCCTGTGTGCGTAGTTCTATGCGCTTCTTGAAGCTGTGGTGGCAGATCGCATTGGAATGGCTGCATGATTGTTGTCATTTGGTGTTGCCACGTCCGTAGATAGGTGCAGGTTTGCTACGGGATGCTGCGAAACGCAGTGTAATGGATGCATGAATGTTGCATGGGCTATGTTTTGGGGAGGAAGCCGGACCACGAAACCTTGTGTTTTTCCGTGTACAGTGGTTGCAGCCGGCGATGAAAGGTACCTCGTCTGTGCGGCGGTTGCGGCTGGGGTCGTTTCTGTCGCGAATTGTTCCTCGTATGTGTTTTGCAACGAGTGGTTGTTCCTGTGTGCGTAGTTCTATGCGCTTCTTGAATCTCTGGTTGCAGATTGCATTGGAATCGCTGCTTCATTGTCGTCATTTGATGTTGCCACGTGCGTAGATAGGTGCGGGTTTGCCACGGGATGTTGCGAAACGCATTGTAATGGCTGCATGAATGTTGCATGGGCTATGTGTTGGGGAGGAAGCCGGAGCACCAAACCTTGTGTTTTTCCGTGTAAAGTGGCTGCAGCCGGCGATGAAAGGTACCTCGTCTGTGCGGCGGTTGCGGCTGGGGTCGTTTCTGTCGCGAATTGTTCCTCCTATGTGTTTTGCAACGAGTGGTTGTGTCTGTGTGCGTAGTTCCATGCGGTTCTTGAATCTCTAGTTGCAGATTGCATTGGAATGGCTGCATGATTGTTGTCATTTGGTGTTGCCACGTCCGTAGATAGGTGCAGGTTTGCTACGGGATGCTGCGAAACGCAGTGTAGTGGCTGCATGAATGTTGCATGGGCTATGTTTTCGGGAGGAAGCCGGAGCACGAAACCTTGTGTTTTTCCGTGTACAGTGGCTGCAGCCGGCGATGAAAGGTACCTCGTCTGTGCGGCGGTTGCGGCTGGGGTCGTTTCTGTCGCGAATTGTTCCTCCTATGTGTTTTGCAACGAGTGGTTGTTCCTGTGTGCGTAGTTCTATGCGCTTCTTGAAGCTGTGGTGGCAGATCGCATTGGAATGGCTGCATGATTGTTGTCATTTGGTGTTGCCACGTCCGTAGATAGGTGCAGGTTTGCTACGGGATGCTGCGAAACGCAATGTAGTGGCTGCATGAATGTTGCATGGGCTATGTTTTCGGGAGGAAGCCGGAGCACGAAACCTTGTGTTTTTCCGTGTACAGTGGCTGCAGCCGGCGATGAAAGGTACCTCGTCTGTGCGGCGGTTGCGGCTGGGGTCGTTTCTGTCGCGAATTGTTCCTCCTATGTGTTTTGCAACGAGTGGTTGTTCCTGTGCGCGTAGTTCTATGCGCTTCTTGAAGCTGTGGTGGCAGATCGCATTGGAATGGCTGCATGATTGTTGTCATTTGGTGTTGCCACGTCCGTAGATAGGTGCAGGTTTGCTACGGGATGCTGCGAAAGGCATTGTAGTGGCTGCGTCAAGGTTGGTCGGTGCTGCGGCTGCATGCGTAATACTGTTGTCTTTTGCAGCTGAGCATCGTAAATCGTATTGGAATGGCTGCATCCACGCTGCAATAGTGATTTGTCAGCAGATTTTCTCAACTTTGGCGCTAATAATTTTCCTTCTAAAAATCCTTTTAAAAAATGCTTCAAAATCGTCTTTTTTCTGCTTTGGCGTCGAGATCCGGTTTTGAAGCTGCAATTTTCGACACCGTTGCGCGTAGCTCTATTGTGTTTTGCAACTCAGTCTC